AGAGAAGTTAAAAGACATGTGTGATGCCTCCCTGGTGGTGCAACAGTTAAGCTCGTGGTTACTGGTTCAAACCTAGCCAATAGCTCTGGAAAAGAAAGACCTGGTGACCTGTTCCTATAAAGATCACTGCCTCAGAAGCCGGACAGGCAGTAACTACTATCACATGTCGTCACTGCACATCAAGACTAACTCAGTGGCATCAACAGCGTCACACAGTTAGCAAGTAACCAGCTGGTCAGGATGGAAGGCCTCCCTGGTCTGGTAGGTCCACTTGCCTTTTTTTTTTTTTTTTTTCTTACTATAACAACTGCTGCAACAGTAATTTATTTATTAAATTCCAAAGCATAGAATAATTAGTGCTTAAACATCCACAACACTGTCATTTTATTATCAGGAAAAAGAAATGTACAGAAAGAGTATTAGGTGGCTTGTCCAGAAATCAGTCTGTAGAAAGCAAGTTGACCTCGAAGCAGACTCACGTGCCTGTCTGCAGAGGGGAGTCATGCTTAGCTAGCATTCTGGGAGTATTAAATGCCATCTGGTTACCTCTCTTCATTTTGAAGATAAATTTCTATATGAAGAGGAATCAAGGACAAAAACCCAGACCAGACTTCTCCAATTTCAATAATTGGGTGGTTTGCTTACATTTCTGCACTTTTATCAACACTTGTACCAAGCACTATCTCACATGTTAAAAATGTAAGCTTCCCAAAGCACAAACTGAAATGTAAACACTCATGCTTTTATCAAGGGTAAAGGCTCTGGGTTGGGGAGCTCAAGAAAAGAAGGAAATAGCTCACTTTGACTTCGCTCAGCTTCAGTTTTTGTGTGTATCAATGTCTCCACCTTGTGGAAGATTCCGGTATGACAGCAACATAAACTCACTGGCATGTATGTTTAAAAGACTGATTTAAGAACAAACTGTATTACAGGATACAGAAACCTCAAAAAGTAAGTATGACTTTTTGGTAGTATATTATAATTGCTATTGATAATGCTCAGCTTGAGACATGCTGGATACCATAAGTCTTCTAGATAATAACCTAGTTAAATGATGTTTAATTTAATTTTAGTAATGTTGCTGTTGTTGTTGTTAAGTGCTGAGGAGTTGGTTCTGACTCATAGAAACCAAGGTGCATCTGGTGCGTTTTGACCGCCGACCTTGTGGTTATCAGCCCAGTGCTGACCCTACAGCACCACACCAGGACGTGTTAAGTTATTTTTTTGTGTTTACAGACCACTAGAAACCCAAAATGATGCACTAAATTAACTAGGTCACCTAATGTACCAGTCACTTAATTTTCCAAGCCATTTCAGACAGCACAAATTTGTCATAGTCTAAGGTTTAATGGTTTCTGTCTTCAAAGTAAAATTGACAAGCAGCAATTCAAAACACTGCCATGCCCAAACTTTTACGACAATAAAAGAACATTTCTAGTTAGACAGGTAGAACTTTGCAAAAGGGAGTTAATATTGAAATAAAAATTCTAGCCGTGATAAAACACTGGGCAAGGTGGAACCACACAGTACTATGGAACATGTGCTCTGGAACCATGAATCCTGGAATCTGCCTGTTAATAACTTGGGGCCTTGGGCAAGTTGTTTATCCTTGCTGGGCCTTGGTTTTCTCATCTATAAAATAAAGATTGTGATGTTGCCTATGGTTAGGGACTGCAGTGAGATTAAACAATAGGTGCAAAATGCTTGGCACATAGTAGGAGAGTTAGCTATTATGAAAAATAGGAACTCACCCAGGAATTTTTTTAATCACTTTCCTCATGAACCTGAATGGCATAGTTACTCTACCCTATTTTGATGATCTCTAATTTGATTGCTAGAATGCTAGAAAACCCTGAAGAAGTCTGAGGCAGTTGGTTGAACAGCGAAAGAAGTCTGAGGCCAGGGAAGTCAAAGGACACCTCCCTGAAGGCTCCACAACAATCTTCAAGGAGCTAATAAGAAGCCAGGCCTCATGCTACACAAAATCGTGGCTTGCTCCATCTAGAAGGTCCCTTAGTCATCCGCTCGTCCCTTCCTTGAACTTTACAGATGGGCAAATGGAGAAACAGGGAGGTTCCTTCATTCAATCCTCTAAATATACATGAATTTGGTAATATTTATAAGAATACCAGAACAATGTTTACCTGTGCTTTATTGACTATGTAAAGGCTTTTGCTTGTGTGGATCATGACAAGCTATGGACAACATTGTGAAGTATGACTATTCTGGAACACATAACTGTGCTAATGAGGAATCTGTACATAGACCAAGAGGCGGTTGTTCAAACAGAGAATCAGAACACTGAATGGTTCAAAATTAAGAAAACTGTGAGACAGGGTTGTATTCTTTCACTATGCTTGTTCAACCTGTATGCTGAGCAAATCATTCTAGAAGCTGGGTTCTATGAAGAAAAATGTGGCATCAGGATTGAAGGAAGACTCATAAACAACCTGCGATATGCAGATGATACTACCTTGCTTGCTGAAAGTGAAGAGAACTTAAAATATTTACTGATGAAGATCAAAGAGCACAGCCTTTGGTATGGATTACATCTCAATGTAAAGAAAACAAAAATCCTTACCACTGGACCAATAAACAACATTCTTATCAATGGAGAAAAGATTGAAGTTGTCAAGGACTTCATTCTTCTTGGATCAACTATCAACACTCACAGAAGCAGTAGTCAAGAAATCAAACAACATATTGCATTAAGCACATCTGCTGCACAAGACGTTTTTAAAGTGTTGAAGGGCAAAGATGACAGCTTCAGGACTAAGGTGCGCCTGACCCAAGTCATGGTATTTTCAATAACCTCATATGCATGTGAAAGTTGGACAGTAAATAAGGAAGACCTTAGAAGAACTGATCCATTTGAGTTATGGTGTTGCAGGAGAATACGGAAAGTGCCATGGGCTGCCAAAAGAACCAACAGATCTGTGTTGGAAGAAGTGCAGCCAGAGTGCTCGTTGGAGGCCAATATGGGCAAACTTCATCTCTCATACTTCAGACATGTTATCAGGAGGGACCAGTCACTGGAGAAGGATATCATGTTTGCTAGGGTGGAGGGTCAGAGAAAAAGAGGAAGACCCCCAACGATAAGGACTGGCAAAGTGGCAGCATCAATGGGCTCAAGCGTGGCAACAATTGTGAGGTTGGCCCAGGACTGGGCAGTGTTTTGCTCTACTGTGCATAAAGTTGCTATGAGTAGGTACCACCTGATGGCACCTAACAACAACAATCACAACATTATGTACTGTTGTTGCGAGTCCTAGTGTGGTACTGTAGGATAAGCACTGGAATAGTTGCTAACTGCAAGGTCGGTGGTTCAAACTCATCAGCCACTCCTTGAAAACTCTTTAAGGGTGGGAACTGACTTGATGGCACTTAACAACACCAACATTAAGTGCACTGAACAATCAGCCTCCATTGCTCAGTTTGTGTGACTCAGTGACTTTCATGTTACTATGATGTTACAAGCTATATATACTACTGGTATTTCAAATGTGAGCAGGGTCAGCCATGGCAGAGAGCTCCCCAAACAAAGGCAGACTAGCAAGATAACACAGACTACTTCGTAAAACAAGCCAATGAAAACCCTATGCATCACAGCAGAACACTGGGTAACATACTGCTGGAAGACAAGCCTCTCAGTGGAAAGGCACTCAAATTACACAGCGGTTACAAGAGTGGACTCAAATGTAGCAACGATTATGAAGACGACATAGGACTGGCCACATTCTGTTCAGGGATACATGGAGTTGCCAAGATTTGGAGCCAATACAGCAGCAACCAACATTATGTACAAAGCACTGAGCTGGGCATGGGGGATTCAGTGGTGAATAAGGCAGGCGATGTCCCTGGCCTCATGACACTGTTTATAGAGGTGTGAGGAACAGCAATGAAAACAGATAACCAGGAAAACTGCAAACAGTGATAGAGCTTTCAAAGGAGAATAAGAAAGGGTGATGGGATGGAGATTTCTGGGTAGGGGCAGGACAAACTACTTCAGGTTGAATGGTCAAAGGGGGTGGGGTCTTTGCTGAAGATGTGACAACTGAGTAGCAACAGGGAAGCAGCCAGGCAGAGGTCTGGGGTAAGAGGATTCAGGCTAAGAACCAGAGAGTGCACAAGGTGTGAAACAGAGGGGAATCTGTGGAGACTGAGCAACAGAAATGATGACTGCAAAGGGACCTGGAGAAATAGGCGGTGTGTGGGCACTACTGTTGAATGTGGGGCCTGATCAAAATGTAGAAAAATGATCATCATATTCCAATGGGAACCAGACTTAATGGATTCATTGAGGCTGGTGGAACCCCCAACTTTACTGTCCTGAAAATCCTTTCACTTTGAACTGAAAACTATCCCATGAAGTCATGTCTAAACAAAACAGATTAGCTCAATTAATAAAGAATGTTGGCCTTGAGCATTTTGCTCTTTTAAAGAATTAGCTATGTGATCAAATTGAGGACAGTAACTCTAAAGCAGAGATGAGAACTTTAAAGGGTGCGGGGAGAAGAGTAACAGTTAAAGGTGGTGATACAATGTATAGAATGTAACCAACGACATTCATCTGTACTCTTAGGAATTGCTGAACAGGTGTATGCTTTGCTGCATATAATATTATACACACCAAGTTAAATAAATAGAGGAACCGTCTATGTCAGGGGACATGGGAACAGGGAGGGATGATAAGCTCTAACAGGCAGGCCCAGGGCAGATCACAGAGACCAGCTAGGCCATGCTAATGGAGTCTGTTCCTGGGATGGACACAAGATGGTTTGTTTTCAGGCTTTACTCTAACTCCTAGTGGAGATGTGTTAGTGCTGCCAGCAAGTTACTGGCCTGGACTGTGGTCCAGTCTTCTGACTCACAGCCTCACAGTGCTCCGTCCACAAGGAGAGCAGCACTGAAGGGGGTTAGTTCAATCTTCTCAGGGGGAGCCTTAAATCAAGTCCTGCAAAGAGAAGCCAGGCGGGAAATGCGAAGCCCCAAGTACTCACCCACTGGTAATGTCATCAGTCCGGATGTTCTTGCTCAGAACGTCCCCGTCACTCATGTAACCGGGGGCGTCCATGCTGATACCTTCAAGTTCCATCTCCTCTCCTGCCTTGTCTGAGACGTCCACATGGCAGACGCTGCTGCCCCTGGTGGCCAGCTGTCTTCTCAGAGGGGCAGAGTACACATAACGGCCCGACTCGCTGTTGATGAACCGGCTGGCATTGGCTCGAGGTGGGTACCCATTGCCCATAGAGGGAGCATCCCCCGCTTGGAGCCGGGGGCTGGACTGGCCTAGTCTCCAGGCAAGGGGAGTAGGCCTTCCAGTCAAGCTGAGGATACTGCGTCCACTGATTTCCGTGGTGACATTGGTGTCGAAGGTGGTTTCCAATGTGCTAGAAAGAAAACAACTCTGGGTGAGATCCAGGCAGGCCTGGGAGCCCTCGTAGTCTCTACGGTCTTTGGTTAAATAAATAGAATGAAGCATTACACATTACACGTATCCAAGAGAGGACAAGACAACAGACCCCACCCAGTGCATTTTCTCTATTCAAACAGGGCAAAGGTGGACTCTAACGGGCTGGAGAAGGGACGAAATGAGGACTTGCTATTTACTGGGGACAGAGTTTCTGCTTGGGGTGCTGACAAGTTTTGGAAACTGAGAGCGATGATGGGTAGCTACCAAGGCAGCAAGTGTGACCAGTGACTCAGTGGTACATGTCAACATGGGTAATCTAGTAGATTTCACCTGACTGATATTTACCACAATACAAAAAAAAAAAAAAAAAAGGGAAGCCGAATATCTAGAAAATAGTCTTAAAAGCCCAATGGAAACACGTTTTCCCCCTAAAACATGGTACAAGATGCCCACCATCAATAACCTTACTCAAATTATTTCAGTCCAGGAAGGAATGAGGAAATGCAGAATTGACAAAGATGCGCACTGAGGCTGCCACCTGCCTGCTTGGTGTGGGCTGCACCACACTTCCCTCTTCCTAGTGCAGGACACACTCTCCACCCCAGATGTCCACAAGTCCATAGCTCATGTCCTCAACTCCCTCCCGACTAGACAGGCTGGGGAGTGTCAATGTTCTAACTCTCTAGACAACTAAACTTTGGTGGCAAAAGGTCCAATGGCAGGGGTGAGTGTCTGGGTTGGAGATCCGTAATAAATCAGGTTTGATGGATCAGAAGCTGCCAGGAGAAGGAACACCACCACGGGCTTTTGGAATCCCTTTTGGATTCCACGGTCATCACAGTCAAAACTGGCTCTTGCCACACAGTCTAAATGTCTGCCTCACAGCGGAGCAGCCAGGGAAAGAGACCAGTTCCTACAGGAGAAGTCCTCAGGCTTTCTCTCCTATCACGATGACCATCCTAGGGCACCAAGAGACAGGTCTAAGGCATGAAATCCATCAAACCATCGTACCCAACATGAGTCCATTTGCTTCCATGATTATGGTGTACGGAGGGCGGCTTCACACCTGATCCTGGAGTCACCAGCCCCAGCAGCCATCCATTCAAATATCTCAATGTTTATGAGCAGTCACTTTAAGGGCTCCCCAGCGATTCTTCTTTGGAAGAGCAAGTTTGGTGTGTCAAGCTCTTTTTGTTTCCCTCTCATCCTGGAAGTTGTCTTCCATTCCTCAGTTGAGGACCCGTCTATCCAGAGATAGAACCTACAGTAATGAAACTGGACTCTGCCAAGCCTGCTGATAGAGGAGAGGCCCTGGACTCTCACTGCCAGCCATTTATCACAGAAACGAAAATCTGAGAAGCAAGGAGACTCCCTGGGAACTCAGAACTTTCCTTGGATTATCAAAGCCAAGCACATACTATAAAACTTCATTCTGCCAAAACCATGAAAAGTATCCCAGGGCTGCATCTTCTTCGACCTTCTTGCTCAGCAGTGAAAACCACCTGATAAATGTTTCCAATGTAATCTTAGATCTCATGCAATAAAGTCATACTTCAAACATTATCATACATTTTTATAAATATTTCCTTACGTGTTTTAGACGCGTGCATGACTAACAATATTACTGAGGGTTATGTATCAGAAGGTTGGGTAAGTATTCAAGTTATTCATTTAATCACACAGGTCAAATCGAGTTCACCTGCTTGCTTCAACAGCACACTATATGGGAAACTGCAAGCAGTGAAGTGAAAATTCAAATGGAGCTGGTCTACAGGACCCTAAGTTGAAATGGGTTCCTTCTGCTTTGGGGAGGAATCTGTCGATACTCATTTTTTGCTCCCTCCAGTTCTCTCCTGCATGCTGTGTGATATCCTTTGTGAATGTCGGCGCAGCTGGGGACTATAGTTACTGCTTCCAAGATGAACCAAACCACTTTGCCAGTGACATGAACAAACACAAGAGAAGCAGTGTGCAAGCAAACCAAGTTACCAGCTAGTTCGGGAAGAAATTCATCACATACATACCTGTGTGTAACCTGAGTTCCCCGTAAACTGGACATCGTCTCCTCCAAGTTCTGCCGCAGATCAGCGATGTTCTTCACTGTCCGAAGTCGCCGGGCCTCCGGATCTTCTCCTGGGAAGATGAAGATGCAGTTTTAATTCTAGGCTGGGTTGGGAGCTTCATGACACAAGTAACCATGACCATGATTAGAACCAGGTCATCAGGATGTAAGGATGAATGTCTACTTGAATGGAAGCCCAAAGGGAGGTGCCAAATCCAGGGAGAGAAATCTTTCTCTTCCCGCCATGCCCTCCTGGCAGAGGTGAAGTCTAGCTTGTGTAGGAAGCCAAGTGTCTAGTTGAAGATGAACCACTTTTCACACTGTCTCCAGTAAGGACATGCATAGGTGGGCTCTATCTACTTTATAGACATCACTTTCTGCCCAGGCCTCATACCTGCTGCCACTTCTTGATCTTACTTTTTCAAATGTTGTTGTTGTTATTAAGTGCTACTGAGTTGGTGCCAACTCATAGTGACCCTGTAAAGGGTTTCCCAAGGGTTTAAATCTTCGAGGTAGCAGAAAGCCTCATCTTTCTCCCGAATTGGGATATAGAGTGGTGAAAAAAATCTTACTTGTTACACACACATATTTTTACAGATAGAGGATTACACTCTCTACTGCTAGATTTATTATGTCATTTCAACATCTGCCTCATATGCAGTGCATTGTCAGCAGAACTAATCAGTCTTAGGAGAAATGCAACTTGAATATGCCTTAGGATCAAGGATGACAATACTTTAACTTGCTTACTTTGGACAAGCCATCTGGAAGACCAGTCTCTAGAAAAAGACGTCATGCTTGACACAAGAACAGCGGAAACAAGGGAGACCTTTAATAACATGAATCACATGCTAGCTACATCAGCGAGCTCAAATACATCATTGGTCATGAAGATGGCACAGGAAGGAGCACCATTTTCTTCTGTTGTCATGAGACAAGGCCAACTCCATGGTTACAAACAACACCTGCACCTTCCTTGAAGGACAGATTCAGGAACTAAATGGGATCGGAGGCCTCCAAGCCCTCCGCACATTCTCAGGACATACCACGCATGCTGTAGAGTAGAGTCACTGACAAGTACCAAGGCTTCTCTTTGGGTGAAGAGTGCCTTCCATGGGACGAGATTTCCCTTAAGACACCTGGCTGGGCAGAGTTGAAGCTGATGCTAATGCACTAAGGGAGCTATGCCTTCTGTTGGTTAGAAAACCCTCTCAGTACAGCTGTGCTTCAGGTTCTCTGGGTTATAATTGCACAAGGAGAAGGAGAATAGCTACAAATGTGATTACAGGGATCAAACCATTTCTCTCAGGGTCACTTCAGGAAAAGCTAACAAGACTGAGGAGCCATAAACAAGGCTTTGAGAGAAAACGGTTTGATCCCTTTAATCAAACTGTAGGAATATGTGCAAGTGTTGAGAAACATATTTCAGAAATCTCCATACAGAAGGCAGTCCATGTGAACATACGGTAAATATGAGTCGGCACCGACTCTACGGCACCACATGTAGGCATAGTGGGACTTACATTGGACACCAGGTAGTGAATGGAGGCTGTGGTGGTTCGTGCTAGAATTCCTGCCTTCCATGTGAGAGACTCAGGTTTGATTCCCTCCTGCACAGCCACCCCATTTGTCAGTGGAGGCGTGTGTGTTGCTATGATGCTGAACAGGTTTCATCAAAGTTTCCAGATTAAGATAGACTAAGAAGAAAGGTCTGGAGATCTACTTCTGAAAATTAGTGCATGACAAATCCGATAGATGACAATGGTTCAGTTCTCAACAGATCCTCGAGACTGCATAGGACTGGACAACTGTTTCACTCCATTGTGCAAGCCGTCACTCTAAGTCGGGGGCCCAAGCAGCTAACAAGAAGAAGAAGTGTTTTCAGCAATCGTCACTAACACAGCTGTAGTCGGCTAAGATATGTCATAGAGTGAACGTTCCTTCTGAGACAGACAACACCTTCCCCAGGTGGCACTCAGCATGATTGTGCCTGGAGGCTGGGAGCTGCATTAAATGATAGACATGATTGTGCGATTTTATGGTGGGAATTTGTGATAGGAACGTGACTATCCTTGAAAGTGCAACTGTTTTCAATTTTCTCCCCCTTTTTAACCAAGGGAAATTTGGAAAGCATTTTTCTCTTATCTGAAAACTGGTCAAGCTTACATTTCCCACCCAATCCTTTAAACTACACATGAGCATGTATGTGTTTTTAAGCAAAAGCAGTGAGGGATGTCTGTCTTGCCCTCCTCTAATGGACTTGGAGAAATGTAATTGGATCTATCACCTGGGCCATCAATTAAATATCTTCTACCATTCATTTAGCCACATTTTCATCTATGTGAAGCTGCCAAAAGGTACTGACCCCTTGGAGAATTCTAGGCTCAGTATAGCATTTATTATGAAGTGAGGTTTTCAAACTACCTCCATCAATTAACCACACACAAAAAAGTTTAGTAATTGCATATGTTCATTTAAGTCTCTCCATAATATATTTGCTTAATTCTCCTTTAGAAATTCAAAGATCTTTGAGATAGAAATGAGGTCACAACTTTACTTTTGGAACCTCCACATAAATTAGTGGATGCCTATACTGCAAGGTCGGTGGTTCAAGCTCACCAGCTGCTCCTTGGAAACCCTACACAGGGTCACTATGGGTCAGGATCAACTCAACAGCACTTCACAACAACAACAACAACAACAAGTAATAGTTGGCCAACAGATAAATGATCAGTTGTAGGTAGAAAACCAATATAGACTTTACATTCTGACATTGTCACTTATAAGCCACTTGATGCTGGGTAAGTCACTCAGCCTCTCCAAATCTCATCTGTGTTGTTGTTAGATGCCGTTGAGTCCGTTCCAGCCCGATGTACAACAGAAGGAAACACTGCTTGATCCTGCGCCAACCTCACAATTGTTGCTACGCTTGATCCCACTGCAGATGCCACTGTGTCAATCCATTGCGTTGGGATCTTCCTCTTTTTCACCGACCCATTACTTTACCAAGCGTGATGTCCTTCTCCAGAGACTGGTCCCTCCGGATAATATGTCCAAAGTATGAGAGACAAAATTTGGCTATCTTAAGATCAAGATTAAAAACTCTTTCCTCAGGACTGTAACCATTTCAATGAAACAAAACACGACTGGTTAAGTGCAAAACTGATGCTCTCCCATGTAAATCATCACTCAAGTCACAATAACAGCTTTAAAAACAAACAAAATAAAACCCTTTCCTCAAAGGGTTAGTATGAGACTCATGAAATGCAGAAGGTGCGTGCTATATAATGAAGACTCAGTGAACACAAGCGTCTTATTTTCCTTTTCCTTCCCTCAGAACCTTGTGCTAGAACAGATTCCAAAGGCAATACAGAAACCCAAGCCATGAACCTGCCTGCTTTGCTTAGGGGATCAGGTTCTGAACTGCCAATGCCCTCTCGTGGAAAGACAACCTCAGTGTAAGATTTTAACCACCAACTCATGTCATGAGCATAAGAGATATTCAACAGTGCTCCAGTGGAAATGGCAGGGCCCTTTTAGTTCATACACAAGGATCTTAAAAACCGAGACTCTAGTTCATCTCTGTGTGCAGTGTTTCGGAATTTGCCAAGCCTCCCTCCAGTCATGGTCACTACTGATAAGCCACTGATGAGTTCACTGGGTGGTACAAATGGTTAACATGCTTGGCTGCTACCCAAAAGATTGGAGAGGGACCTAGGAAGAAAGGCCTAGAGATTTACTTTGAAAACATCAGCCATTGAAAACCTGAGGGGCACAGTTCTACTCTGATACACATGGCATTGTCACGAGTTAAAAGTGAATCGACAGCAACTGGCTTAATTTTATTTTTTAGGCAAACAGAAAAGTATTATGAAAGGATTTTTGAAGGAACTTGGGATTTTTATACTTGGAAGTGGAAACATGTGGCTACATGGACAAGAATGGAAATTGTAGGTTTGAGGAGGCAGACTTACAGACAGTGATTAAAAATATAAGAATAAAGAACTCCATTATCAGTTAAAGCCTTAAAAAATAAATTAAAAAACTGGGAGGGTTGTCTTAAGAAGGAATAATCTGTCACAAGAAATACTCAGAGGCTGAAAGATGATCTGTCCACGAGTCTCAGAAGGTATTCAAGGATAGAAGAGATTCATGATAAACCCGTGGCTGCTGTGATTCCTTCTAACTCTATAATCCCAGATGTACTTCTCACCTCTATTGCTATCCAAATGGCAAAGCATCATGGGAAAATCTGCCTACCTGCACAGTCCAGAGGATGAATTACCCAACTGAGCAAATGTTCATTTGTCCATGTCTAAATATATCCATCATTCACTGTTATTTCAAAGAACTGGCTAAATTAAACTCAACCTTCAGTGTCTCCATTAAAAATAAAAAAACAATTCATAGTACAGTCACACATGTGGCTTGAATTAAGGACAAGTCACCCTGCTGAAGAAATTTTCACTAGCCACCACCATCAAGAGTACTTAATCAGACCCTACTTCCCTGAACCACTGATACATCTCAGTGTGTCTGGGTTTTTCCTTGGGTTTGTACTCCTGGTGCAGAGAGACACTGGGGGACACATAGAAAAGCTGGTGGGCGATGAGAGGTAGCAATCTGTCACTCGGAATTCAAAGTGCTATTTGGTATGTTCTCTGGTGGCTGCTTTTGCTTTATAAACATGAATTTTGCTGAGACTCATCATGCTGGACATGTAGCCCCACAAGCCCTCGGGAAGAACACATATCAGACACAAGCCAGACTCTGAAACACCGGCAGGCTCTTGACGTGTGTACCCAAGAACACCGTCTGGAATGTGTGAAGAGACCTGAGAAGTGATTGGAACGCCACACCCTACTCATGCCTGATCTTTTTCCTGTGCTACCCAAGTTCTCATATGCAAAGGAGGTACAAAGCTTGAAGAGAAGAAAATTGAAAATCAATTTCAAATGTGGGACCTGAACCGTTGTAAGATGGATCACTTACAAATAGCTTGGGAGAAAACAAAACAAAACTAAAATCACCATACCACCACTGTGACCAGCCAGCAGAATCAGAAGGAAAAGAGTTAAATCACCCAGATCTTCTGAAACGAATACTCAGAGTTAATGGCTAAATGGGTACGGTTCAATCACCCGGCTATAGACAATTCCACAGCTGTACTATGTCTATTAAAGTGGTGTGGTCACGGATATTTAAACTAATAAGTGGACTTTAAACATGGCTTCAAATTTTAACCCAACTCTGGCAGTGGGAAGGTATGAGAATCGTATACAGCCACTGCTAATTACATGGTTTGTCACTCACTTCTCAAACTAGAAGTTATCAGAGCACAAGGACACAGAAGTTGGGGAATGAAACCGGAAGTAGTAACGTGGAACAAGTGTAGGAGGAGTTCCAATTCTGACGGAAGCTTTTCTTTCTTAAATTCAGAAGGTGACAGTGATGGTGGTGGTTGTGTGGTACCTGACTCATAGTAACCCTGTGTAGGGTTTCCAAGGCTGTAAATCTTTATAGGAGCAGAAAGCCTCATCTTTCTTCCCCAGAGCCGCTGGTAGATTCAGTGGCTGACCCAGCAGTTAGCAGCCCAACAAATAATCCACTATGTTACCAGGGCCCCTTTCAGAAGGCGATAGTATAATATTAATAATTGTGAAATTACATGACAACTGCAAGTCTCACATTTTTATATGGTACACACACACCCAAAGCTGCTGAGTCAATTCTGATTCATAGTTACCCGACAGGATAGTAGAGCTACTGTACAGGGTTTCCAGTGCATTACCATGGATGCAGCCTGCCACGTCTTTCTCCCACAGTCACTGCTGGGTTCAATTGCCACAATATCCCTTTAATCATTACTGTCTAGGTTAGATGTAAATAAGAAGCTGTTTTGCACTTTTTTGGTAAAAGAAGCCTGCTGTAATCTTTCCAATTCATGGAGGAAGATAAGAACATACTTTCAACCAGTGCTCCCATATAAAAAAGAAAACAACACAAAAAATTCCAGTATTTGAGAATTTCCACTTTTATCTAAAGAATAAAGGAGAAAAGTCAAGGTTAAGGACCTGAGCCCCTAAAAAATGAAATGAAATAGACCTTAAAATGCAATTTGCCATGAGGTCAGAGACTTCTTTACAATTCTGGAGAGGAGAGACTAGATTGGGAGAGAGAGAAAAATGGGGAAGAAAGAAAGCATTAAGGCAAGAAAGGGAGTTTGTCTAGCTCACCCATCAGTGCAAGAGTGAAGCAATTTCAAATCAAGCTGGGCTCACGCCCACTGAGCAGGTTGCTGGGTGGCTTCAGCACCAGCAGACCCAGGGTTTCTGCAGTTCGTACTCACCAGTGAGCTCTTCCAAGGCAGGCTGTCCACTCTTGGTGTAGTGGCTGGGCTCCATGCTCATGCTGGCTGAGCTGGATTCGGCAGTGACATTCCCTTCAGTGTCTGTCTGGGACCTTCACACACAAACCAAAGCAGACATGCTTGTCATGAGAAGCATTGAGCACATCTGGGCCACTGTGGTCTGACCACAGGACCCACCGTCACCTCCTGCAGCAAGCTTTAGAATAGAGCAGACCAGCAGACTGATGCTAAATTATTCATCCACCTCTTGTGGAGCAATGTCCTAGAATCAGAGGGAGCCACCCAACTGTAAAGGATGAAATATTCATCGCCCAAACGGAGTGGCTGCCATTCCTCACCCAGGGATGTTTCTCTGCACTGCCATCAGGAAGGATGGTCTAACCAGACAAATGCTGGAGGCATCTGGGTAGTTTGGATCATTCAACCTGTGCCAAAGAGCAACTTCTAAGTAACCAGTGATGCGAGGAAATCAAGCATGAAGATGACTCTCTTGGCAGACCGCATGCCCCCTCAGATCCTCCTGACATGCCTTTCTCTGAAAAGGTGACTGTAAAACCAGTCAGGAGTAGGTTCCAAACAGCTGTGTTTGCCCTCCAGGTCTCTGATTCAGAGCTCAGATCCCTTGACATGAAAAGTCTCATTGATGGCTATTTCAACACTTGACTGAAACCTACACTTCCCCAAGCCTTCTCCAGGCTCTTATTTATCAGGCAAATTGAGACAACTGCATTATGCAATGTTTTCTTGCCATCACTAACTACCTCTGTTCATTTAGGCATGGCATGCAAATGTACAATTATACTCAGATGCAGAACCCAGGGTCTAATATTATTAATTCATTAGCATCCTGAGCAACTTCAACCAGAATGCACTGTCTATGAAGAAAGTGTTTGCTGTGGGGGGTGGAGATGGTGTAGATAAATCTCACCCACCCACCCACTCTCCCTTCCTTTACCCCACTCCTCACTGAGCTCAATTCTTGTGATCTGTATGTTTAAAGGGTTTTCATTATTCCAGCGCTGCGCTGCATCTAGCATTCAAGCTCTCATCTGTCCTACCTAGGCACACAGGCGCACTGCCCACCTCTAGCCTGGATCCAGGTTGTAAATGGCAGTGAGCTACAGAAACCAGCCCACAGAAGTATTCTTATTGGTCAGAATGATATTTAGAAGTTTTCAAATTAGTTGCAATGAAAGCATCTGGATATCTGCCTTCTCCCAGGAAAAACAAGGCAAGTCTGGAAAGCCAGCTACTGGCACCAAGTGGTAATGGATCCCTCTACAGAGGCATGGGAGTTCCCTCAGCCAGTTCAAAATAGCGTGAAGTCACCTTTTTACATAACCCTTTTTGAACCAATCAGGCATCTAAGTCTATGACTGTCGTTCTAGGTTGATCTTAAGTCTGGTTTACTCTCTACTCAAAGCTCCCCTGATCTTTGTAATCCCAATGGTTTAAACTCCCTATTGTGGTAGAAGATGCTCTTCATAATTGGATTATTCCTTCATTTCCAGCCCATATCCTGCCATGCCCACCCTTTCTTTATAAGCAGTTCTATCCTATGCTCCATCCAGGACTTTGAATGGTTTGTCCTGGTTAGAGCCCCAGAGAACCTGCATTTCTGGCCCTGGTATACCAAATCAGCAGAGACACTTTGGACTTCTGGTGTTCTGCCACTTGACCTCAAAGTCAGTTTGAACAGCAAAGTTGGCAGTTCAAACTCACCAGCCACAACTGAGAAACCCTATACGGGGTGGTCTCTATGAGTCCCAACCTACTGCAGACACTTAACAATACATAAGAGTCCCTGAGGATCATGTTAAAAATGTAAATTCTGATTCAGCTTATCTGTGGTAAAAATGTAAATTTTCAGCTGGAGGTCAAACCAGAACAAACCAGATTGAAGGCTGGTTCCCTCTACATGTGTCATTGCTGTTAAGTGCTGTCAAGTTGGTTCTGACTCATAGCGACCCTGTATAGGGTTTCTGAGGAGCTGCTGGTGAGTTTGAACCGCTGACCCTGTGGTTCATGCCGACCTTGAGATCGAGTGCTTCCCCTATGGTACCGCATCAGTATAAGCCTTTTTGCTTATTGAGACCTGCCTATTTGTTGTTAAGTGCCATTGAGTCAGTTCCAACCTATAGCAACCCTATATAGGGTTTCCGAGGAGTGACTGGTGAACCTGAACCACTAACCTTGCAGTTCAAACGGCTTTGCAGTCTGGTGCATTAATCCACAGTGCCACACCGGGAGACCTGCCTATAGGTCCTGCTTTTCTTTCTTCCATGTTAAGCACCCTTGAGTCAGTTTCGACTCACAGTGACCCTGTATAATGTTTCCAAGGAGCGGCAGGTGGGTTTTGAAGTGAGTTAGCTGTCTAGTGCTGATCACAGTGCCACACCACTTCACTCCTATTCTGCCTTCAAGAAGCAATCTCCAAAGATCTTATGAATGGATCCTGATCAAAAGGAGGAAAAGTGTGGAACAGAGCTTCAAACTCATATGGAAATCAGTCTTACTGGTTCCACTGAGATGAATCTATTGCCTGGAAATAATCTTTAAATCTAGAACTATCTCAGGAAGCCCAATTAATACTAAATGCTTACCTCAAGCATGATGGTGTTGCTATGTGAGATTGAGTCAGTTCTGACTCACAGTAATCCTGTATAGAATTTCTGAGGCTGTAAATCTTTATGGAAGCAGGAAGTCTCATCTTTATCTCAAGGAGTGGCTGGAGGGTTTGAACTGCCAACCTTGTGGCTACCAGTCCAGTGCTTATACTACAGCACCACCAGGGCTCCTCAAGCATAGTACTCTTAGAAAGCATGATGTATGTGAGGGTAAACTGACAACAGTTCATCAAAAGCACAGATGAGGAGTTTAGGGGGCAGAAAGCCTAAATGAATGGTAATGAAACACTATGGATAGGGATTCACTGTGACGTATATAAACAATGCTATTGAAATGTTCATATGGAATATGTGAGTGAGTGATTGTCTGATTGGATGTGTATATTGATACACGCACACTCACACACTCACCAAGGTGCGGGTCTCCTGTCATGCTGGCCTGGAAGCCTTCTCTTTCTGCAGCTCTCTTCCTATTCTTCTGGTGCCACATTTACGACAGTGTGATACGTACGTCTTTCCCCAAATAGATTGAGAACCAGTCTTGAAAGTAAAGACCAGTTCAAGTTCAAGCACAGAGAAAGCAGCCAAGAAGGGTGTGCTCAAAGGATAATACATAAATGTGAAATATTTAAGCCTAGAAAGATGCTAGACATGATGTCTGGACATTTAGTTGGGTTCGGGTCTAGGCTCGATAACTTGATAGTCATGTAAATTTGAGTTTCCTGTCTTTGAACCTCAGCATTCTCATCTGTGAAGTGGCCCTAACAACAGCAACATCCTGAAAGTAAACAACTCAAATATGATCTGACACAAACGCACTTGGTAAACTGTACAGTCACAGGGGTGGGGGTAGGGGGTCCTTTTGGCTTCTGAATTGTAAAATTTAACTTATTCTGAATGACTTTTTTTTCCCCTTTAAAACGGACTTGTCTTCCTTTCACCCCTGGGTTACATCATTAACATGGAGAGGTCTGAGGGTGGGAGACCACTGTAAGCTACACATGGAGAAATATCAAGTTCAGACAAGGATTTTGAGAGTAGGAAGAAAACCTAAACCACTTAAAAATGACAACAACAATATCTAATTTGGTCTAGTCTCTACTTCACAGAAGACAACCCTGAGGGTCAGAGAGATGAAGTGATTTCTAGAGTCAAGACTGGCTGGTGGTTAGGAGTATGGCCCCTCGACTTAGACAGACTTAGATTTAAACATCAACTCTTCTAGATACTAGCTTGTGTGACTTGGAACAAGTTAATATCTATGAAGCAAGTGTTTGCCCATAGCCTGAACTGTGTTTTACCTATATAATGGTGATTCAGAGAAAAGTAGCTGGTTGGTGGAACGGGCTCAAGCTAAACAGGGATTGTAAGGATGGGAGAGGGCCATGCTTCGTACCGTTGTACACAAGGTCGCTGTGAGTTGGAACTGACTCGATGGCACAAAACAACAACTAACAAGCTGGCTGGTGGTGCTGTGGTGAAGGAGTAAACGAGTTGAGGCATGGAGGGCCCTTGATGAGCCTCCCTCCACACACCAGGAGCCATGCTCAGTAACTGCTCCTGCAGTCAGTGCCCACGAGCACACAGGGCGTCTTGAGCTGATGCAGGCCAAAGACCATGCTCTTCTCTCCAGCCTGTCTTCCCTGGCTCAAGTTCAGAGGGGCTGCTGGGCCATGACACAGAACAAGCAGCGACATGAAGAGAGGCTTAACAGATGCACATCCGGGTGATTCCCTTCCCCGCTTGTCCAACATTCAGACTTTATCATGAATGGTTCTGCCAGTCATTGGTGTTAAGTGCTGTGGAGACAGCTCTGACCCTGTATAGGGTTTCTGAGGAGTGGCGGTGGACTTGAACTGCCACCTTTATGGTGAGCAGTCCAGTGTTGATCCTACAGCACCATGCCAGGACTCCGTATCAGAGGAAAGTTTGCAGTTTTTTTGTTTGTTTGTTTGTTTTGTTTTTAAGGAGGTTAAATGTCCTGTCTTCTTTCAAGTAATTATAGCAAAAAACAAAACAAATCGAGGAGCTGGGAGAGAACTGATGGCGATCAAAGACTGTCGTGTCTTTTAATTTTAAAAATCCAGATCTAGAGTCTGAAATTTGTAGCTTGCATATGCATTACCTGCTGAATGGTAAAAATTTGCTGGGGAGCAGCCAACCACCTCCTTGCTTCAGGGCACAATTGTATTAACAGTCGTGTATACAGTGCTGAGCCAACCTCTCAGCTTTGACAATCTCCCAAGGACAAATAGCTAGTGACTTCTGTAAGAAAGTTTTGGAGTGACCCTTGCTGAAGGGAAGGGTGAGAGGGAAGGAAGAAGAGGCTGGGTAAAGCATGGTACTCTTTATCTGGCTGGACCTGGCTGGCTCTTTTGGTCACTCAAGTCAGTTTTCCCACGTGCTATAGGGAGCAACTGTCATGGCGTCTACTAGAACCCAACTCCAGCAGAGAATGAGGGAATAGGTCATCCTCTGGGATTCATACAGACATAGGTAGCTAAAAGTGTGGGCATTGAGTCTATGCAAATGAACAGCTATGCAAAACCATGCATGCATACCTGTACATTTGCATATTATATATGAATATATATTTGTGCCTACAGATTATGTATGTGGATAGTATTGTGAATGAGTGTATTCAGGATTGTTGTTGTTAAGCGCTGTCGAATCAGTTCCGACCCATAGCGACTCTGTGAAGGATTTCCAAGGTGCAGCTGGTGAGCCTGAGCTGCCGATCTTGAGGTTCAAACCAACTTTGCAGTCCAATGCATCATCCCACAGAGCCACACCAGTACTCAATGTTGTTGTTAAGTGCCGGCAAGTCGGTTCCAACCAACAGTGACCTTCTAGAGAGTTTCCAAGGAGTGACTGGTGAGCTTGAACCACCAACCTTACAGTTCAAACTGACTTTGCAGTCTAGTGCATTAATCCACAGCGCCACACCAGTACTCACTAAAAGTCACAAAATGAGTGCCTAGAATGTGACAATTTTGTTAGGTAAAGGTGTTCGTTGTCAGAAGCAGTCCTTCTCCAGCACAGGATGAAGTGGAACACATTGAACACCACTCAGGGACTCCCTCAAGAGCAGTGCTGGGATAGCTTCCACCTCCCTGGGGTGACCGAGCACCTGACCAGAGCCAGGGAACGTCACAGAGCAGCACATGACTCTAGGTGGTCCCATGGATATGAGAGATGGCGAGACAGAGGATGAATGAAGGATAGAGGTTGGAGTTAGACATCCAGGCGTGTCCTTATACAATGTGGGTTCTTTTGTTCTAGAACCGGTCCCTCCCCTTACCACTACCCACTTCCACCATTCTTCCTCCCTCCAAAAAAACCTAACATGAACTTTAAAAAATAATCCTTAGTATGGGGAAGATGGCAGGCAAACACTTTGGGAAATTTAAGGTAAACCATGTCTATGAGAAAATGTAGCATTTTCAAAAAAAATTACGTTTAGGATGTATTAGGACAAGGTTGGCAGTTCAAACTCACCAGTTGCTCCTTTGAAACCCTACACAGGGTTGCAATGAGTCAGAAGTGATGACAGCACTTATCAACAACAACAGGACTGACGTTGGAACCTGGTGAGTGATGTCACACACCCCTCCCCACACATCTTAGGCCTCCGTTACTCTACTGGTACTACTGTTTCTTCTTCTGAAATGCCCTTCGGTCCCCAAAGGTCTGGTTAACAACTCATCCTGGGTCTGCTCAAACTTTCCTGCCTCCCTGTAACTTTCTCTAACCTTCTCTCAACCACACTGCATTCACTCTCTCCTCAAGCATACTGTGAACACTCCTCCTAGTTGCTTATCACGTGGTACCTTAGCTACTTGCTGAAATGTTCCTCCCGCTAGTGTCCTGATCTCTGTCCCCTTCAGAGCACCCAGAACCCACCAGAAAGACTCTTTGGCCCAATAACCCAGGAAGAGCAGGGCAGTGGCCATCCCTACCTGTATAGGAAAGGCGCCACTGTGGCAGTGTTGGGATGATTGTATTGCTGCTGGGGCTGAGGTAGCTGGACACTGACAGTATTGCTTCCTGTGGTCTGGGTGGTCCCCACAGATCCACTGACGGTCTGGCTGCTGATGCTGTGGTTCAGTGTGGTCCCTGCTGGGCCTTTTCCTTCTGAGGAAGCCAAGCTGGAGGAGGAACTGGAATGTCTACCATCCAGCTGGGGCTTCTGCTGGGACAGCCCAGAGCTTGGCTTCCCACTCCGACTCCGCTCCCCTTCCTTGGAAGGTGTAGGGGCACTTGGGGATTTCCCGGCCATGCTCTTTATACCTGGTTTTGGTATTCCACTGTGGGAAGGAGCTGGGGTCTCCTTCTTGGCACTGCTGAGCTTCCCCCCTTTAGGGATGAAGCTGGCGATCTTGGAGGACTTTTTTGGCATCTCGGTCCCTGCTGTTCCAATGGGATCTTCCTTCAGTTCCTCTCTGACTTCTGGCCTCTCTGTCACCGAAGCTCTCTTGGTGAAGTCCTTGCTTTTCTCCTTGTCCTTCTCCCGCTGTTGTTTCTCTTTCTCCTTCTCGGTGCCTTTGGGGGAACTTTTCTTGGTGGTCAGCGCCCGGCTGAAAGTCCTCTGGGCAATGCCCTTGAGTGCGATCTTGGGGCTGTTGGACGCGGGACCTGCGTTGGAGAGGGTGCGGCTGGCAGCCTCCATCTCCTCGTTCTCTTCAAAGCTGGGAAGGATCTCCAACCGCTCACAGCTCGTGTCCCGGGACCCTGGGCCCTCGACTGCCTTGGAGCCCCCTTTACTGTTGAAGAGTTTTAACTTTTCCAGCATGGACTTCTGATTGTTAGGGACAGGCTTGATGGTTTCGGGGGTGGGCCTGGTGGTCTCGGGTGTGGGCTGCTTCACTGCGAGCATCGATGACGTGGCACTGTGCTTCACGCTGAGGGACTTGCTGCGCCAGGGCTTGGACGTCGTGCCGGGCTGCGGGATGGCTGAGGAGGTGCTGCAGTTAGCGGGGCTGGCGTTGCTGCTGCTGTCTGAAGCAGCAGGTGCATTCTCACTCATTCCTGAGTGGGAGGAGGCTGGGCTTTCCAATGGCTCTGCAGAGGTGGGGGGAGAGGGGGACACTTGAATTAGATCTGCAGACCCTCACTGATGACACTCCTGTCCACAATTAAACACCCCCCCCCCAACCCAAATGCCATTGGACTATCAAGGGAGAAGAGCAGAGAACGGAACCCTACCCAGAGAAGTAGTGATGCCAGGGATGAAGGCAGAGATGATGATGTGGGGAGATGGAGCGGCTGGGGACTTTGGACCCAGAGAAGAAGAGGGGCTGTATGTGGATGACCAGCAGGCTTGTGGGGTATACCCTTTGGTTGGTGGATGATGCATGGAGGGAATTATAACCATGGCAAGGAAACTATATATGATGGGATCAATGTGAAGCTAATGTCCTCCCATGTAAACTATCACATAATTCACAATAAATTATTTAAAAAAAACACCCCCCCAAAAAACAAAACAAAACAAAACAAAACAAAAAACAACTCTATTACCTGGCTTTGTGACTTACCTGGGCTTTGTGGCTTACCTCTGGTTGCATTTCAAACCCCAGCTCATCATACACCCTTCACATCCCAACCTCCACCCCCATCATATTCTAGTGTTTGTTGTACATGCTGACATTAACATTTACATGCCCAAAGCACAATTAAGAATGTAAATCTGTAGAAATCCAAATAAACAAATGATAAAAACCACCACAGTGGTACTACCACAGTGCAGCTCAAAGCCCAAAATATATAGGAAATATCTACTGTTTTGTATTATTTAATCCACAGCGCCAGCAAAAAACACAGTACAGTTATGCAAGAAAAACCAAGGATTATCTGATGTAAAGACATCATATAGCAGAGACATTAAAACAATCAAACAAAACAGAAAAGAGGAAAGACCAAGTATAATCCTCCAAGGAGAATAATTACTCACGGGAGTTTCTAAGTCCTATCAAAACATCGGTTTATCCTATATTGGCACTCTAAAAGAGTTACAAACTTGATTCAGGCTGGATTTAAAAAAACAAAGACTTTTTCTGCTTCAGAGTAGAAACCTGCACATGGCCTCACTGGAGGCAAGAACCGGTACAGGTTATCTGAAAGTCAAGTCTTCCCTGCTTGGCACTCCGGGAGCGTTTCCCTGGCCTGTTTCTTTTCTCAGAAAAGCCTCAAAAGATTTAGGAGTGAGAGCCAGAATTATTCTGGGAAAGGCGGGTTCCAAACTGGAGCTCTCTGCTCACCACCAAGCCAGACCAGTATCCCAGGAATGAAACAGCAGCCCCTTCTTCGGAAGGGCTCATCACCTCCTAAGTAGGGGCAGCTGTGAAACTGGCAGGGGAAACACTTCACAGCTGAAGTGTGTCTGCGCCCACCCAAGACCCCGAGCCCCCGATCCCCCAACAGATTAGCAATAGAGCGCTCAAAGAGTGCGCCCCACGTCTGCTGAGACACAGTGATATTCCTTACCTAGCAGCAGCCAGTTTCTCCGGCAGTGATTCCCCAGGAAAAACTCTCGGACCCGAGAGGCGGCCCTTCCAATTGTCACAAGTGTTTTTGGTTAAGCTGCTCATGTTTCTAATTAACTTTTGTCATCCACAAATGCTCCAGTGCCGGGATGAGCGGATGCGTCTTCTGTTCTCTCTTTTTAATACCTAGGTTCCGCCGCCTTCTAGCAACAGAAAAAACTGTATACAGAGCGGCTTTTTATGATTTAAAAGTCAACGGCCGCTAAAGCCAAAAGAAGGCAGCCCCTGTGTGGGGCACCGAGCCGATGCCGGGAGCGCCTCACCGCAGAACTGCTCGCCTTCTCTTCCCTAGGCTGCTCAGCAAGCCACAACGCCGGGTGATCCAAAGCAGACCTCCCAATGTTGTAAAACCCATACATCTTCCTGATTTACTGAGGATTTGGGTTTGGAGGGGAGGGTGCTCGACAATCCTCCCTAACAGAACGCACGGGGCACTGCTGGATCTTTTCCTGGAGAGACTCAGAGACTGGCGTGGAAACAGAATCTGGCTTTTGAAACCCACCCACACAACCCCTCTTGCACAAGGGATCCCAGGCTTGACCGTGTCTATTGAGGGTCCTCTGGGCATCAGGAGGCACAGTGCTGGGCACACTGGGAACAGCCAGTTACTACCCTTTTTTAACCAGGGAGGGAACTCAAGCTCAGAGACATTAATGTCTTGACCCTACACTACTGAGCTAGAGTTGGACAGGTCTGGGATTTGTACCCAGGTCCCCTGACACAGTACTCTTTGGGACCTCATCATTTATTTGTTTCAAATAAATTTAGACAGCATCGCTTAAATGGTAGGAGATCTTTTCAGGAATTACATTTTCTACTGCTGATGTTGTTGTTGTATGCCACAGGGTCAGTTTGGACTCACAGCGAACCTGTATAGGGTTTTTGAGAGTGGTTGGTGGGATTGAACTGCTGACCTTGAGGCTACCAGTGCAATGCTTATCCTACAGTGCCACACCAGGGCTCCATTTCCGACTAGCTTAGTTACATTTATGATAGCCATCACCAGGGCCAGTTGCCAATGAGTCAAATTAAAAAAAAAAAATGTTTTATTGTGAATTATATGATAGTTTACATGAGAGAACTTTAGATTTACATTCATTCCATTGTATATCATCTCCAATGAGTCAATTTTGACTCATGCTGACCCCATGTGTGTCAAAATAGAACTGTACTCCATAGGATTTTCAACAGCTCCTTTTCCAGCAACAGACTGCCAGGCTATTCTTCCAAGGTACCTCTGGATGCCTAAGGGTTAGCACTTGAGTGTGTTAACCCTTTGATTCACCCAACACCATCCACCAAACCAAAAATCAAACACAATGCCATCAAGTCAATTCCAACTTATAGCAGCCCTATATAGGGTTTCCGAGACTAAATGTTTATGGGAGCAGTCATCTTTCTCCTGCCGAGCAGCGGGGTTGGTGGGGTTGAACCTCAGGCTTTTTTTGATTAGCAGTGCAATGCCTAACCCACCTACAGTGCTATTGAGGCCCCTTAACAACAGCCACAGTGGGGCACAAACCAGTCCTGCCATTTGGAAGGTAGCTACGCACACCATGAAGGAGGTTTACTGGTTGAAATACTACTCATGGTCCAGCTGATTCCAACTCACAGTGACCCTATAGGAAACCAACAGGATTTCCAAGGCTGTAAAGGTAGAATACGACTTCTTCTCAATCAGTGGCTAGTAGGTTTGAACTGCCAACCTTTCCACTGGAAGTTGAACACTTAACCACTGTGCCACCAGGGCTCCTAGAGTTGAAATAATAACGTTCCTCTAATCCCCAAGCTCTACTTCTCTTAAGGCAACTAGCATTCCCTTTACTGAGACTCAGATCAGGGGCAGACACTCCTGCCTTCCTGGAAGAGGTGACTTTTGAGTTATTGTGCAATAATTCTACTGGTTGGTTTCTTATTTCACTCATGTGTAAATTTCTCCAGGGCAGAGCTCCCTCCACCCCCACTCCCACCTCACATTCATCTTTCCTTTTTTTCTCTCCTAACACCAGGCAAAGCACAGGAAATACTCAGGGAAGGGTTCTGACTTGCTGGTTAGAGGCTTCCACATTTGCAGTTCACACTGAAGGCAAAAAAGACACAGGATTTCTGACAATCCATTAGGATTATAGTCAAACTTTTCAGTCTAACTGCAGGAAAAATCAGTGTCAGGATTTAGAACTTTGGAATTTCCACTTGGCATTTAGCCTGGGCTCCCCTGGTGTCCTGGTGTGGCACTGTAGGATAAGCACTAGACTGCTAACCAAAGGTCATCAGTTCAAATCCACCAGCTACTCCTCAAAAACTGCATACAGTGTCCCTATGAGTTGGAACTGACTCAATGGTACTTGACAACCACCACCACCCCTGGTTATGGAAATCACAGGACATTTCAAGGGCATTCATTATAACCAGAAAAAGGCAGCACTGTCAGATAACTGTGAATTTGGTTTCTAGAACAGAAGTCTTCTGAGTAGGGTTAGAGGGCGTCAGGGTATCTGAGGATCAGATTATTAATATCTGGTGCTCAGGACATGGCCAGAAATCCCTACAGCATAAAGGGGGTTTCCAATCATGAGTTGGCCTTATCCTAGTTTGACTCAAAACACAGCATGTCTACAGCATCATACCAGTGATCTCAGGCCATGGCTGAAGTGGCTGTTTGGCTCCTGAACCACTTTCTTTGGGAGCTGAGGCTCTGTGTGATTCCTAGTATAAAGACTCTCTTTAACAGTCTTCTGAGATGGATACCTTGCAGGGGATGTGTGTGTGAGTAGCTAGGCCAAGCCTCAAGCTAATGTGATCCTAGAAATGCCAGTTTTCTGCCTCAGTTGCCTTAACTGCAAAAAGGAGGCTGAACAATAGCCCTTTCAATTCTGTCCCCCTTCAAGTCTCTTCGAGCCTCCAAGAGGTCCTCCAAGTGGCCGGGATCTGGCCAATGCTTGTCCCATTGGGCCTCAAGAGCACTTACTGAGCCCTCTCATCGTCCTGCGTTGTAACATATGGGTGGTCTTTTATCTTCAAACATTCCACCCTTCACAGTTCTCTTACGATAATGCTTAATAACAGATGGAGAAAACTGGCTAGGGTCAAGGTATAGGCAATCTTGGCAAAGTTGCTGTGAATTCAGAAATGTTCCTATCTATGAAAACCAGCCTGGGGGAGGAAAAGTGGGGCAAGGTCTTTAAATTAAAGAGCAACTTGTCTTCCTAATAACTCTCTCTCATGTTTCTTTTCTCATGGACATATGAACCTTTGTAAGAGCAAAGGAATCTGAGGAGGAGAAAGGACAAATGCGGGCAAGAATGTTCTGAACGCCAGTTTTCCCATGTAGTGGTATGTGGGCTATGGGAAAGATGAGATAATTTTGGATGAAGATGAATACTTTCATAGTCTATTTGAATCCCTGAATGGTGTAAATGGCTAACATGCGTGGCTGCTAACTGAAAACTTGGGGATTTGAGTTCACCTGCAATCCTGGTGTGGCACTGTGGGTTAATGCGCCAGACTGCAAAGCCG